ATCTCTGGCTGCCTCCTCTTAGATGAAAAATGCAATGAGTATCTCTCTTTGGACTTAAGTTTGTCTAACACTTCGTGTGTGTGTGTGTGTGTGTGTGTGTGTGTTTGGAAACTTCACAAGGGAGATCTTTGCTACCCAACTGCAGATAGAGAGTCACAGTTTTACGGAAACGTCTTCCGTATAAAAGAATCTAAGCTCTTGCAGCAGGGCCTCCCTGTTTCTGCATCGCCTTTGATGACATGGCCTGAGAGCAGCGTGCCCGCAGGGCGTAGTGCTCCAGGCGTCTGCTCAGACAATTTAATTTACTAAGACAAAGGTTACCAAAGGAACGCTAATTCCCTTTGCCTGCACGGGGCTAAAGAGTTTTGTGTTACTGACGCTGGGAGGGGGCAAAACAAAACCCAGAAGCTCTGCCAGACCCTCGAGGTACGGGAGGCGGGCGTTTTAAGTGAGCGGGGAGGGAAACAGGACGCGACCCTCCCTGGTCACACACACTACGACGTGGCTGCCCCAGCCTTCAAAGAAAGCAGCGGCAGCTCTGTGACTCCGGGGCCTCCTTCCTGATGGATGCCCTGCCTTTTGTTTCTAATTTAAGCTTTCTTCTTTTCACTTTTGTCTCCCTTATTCTTTGTGTCTCCTTTTCATCTTTTCCCTCCTCCCTTCTTCTTTTCTTCACGTTTTTCACTTTGTTTTCAAACATAAATAATGTATTGTGAAATCAAGTTTAAAGGATGATAAAAGAAAAAATTTTAACTTAGAAAAATAAGACTTTTATGGTTCCAATTCTTAAACCATAGAAATATATCCATTTTGCATCTTTAGTGGTCACTGGATCTGTAAAATCTCAATAAAATTGTCTACTATTTTTTCACTCAACATTCTTTTGTGAATGCCTTTCCCTTTCCCATAAGGTTATTATAGCGATGTCATAATTAGGTGATATTCTATTCTGTCAGCATGCCTCTTATTTTTTTCTTGCCTCCTTCTTTTCTGCATACACAAGAATCTCTGCTTTAACCATCTTGACTACAGCTGGGCGTTCCATTTGTCACAGCAGCAGGTGGTGGAAAAGTCTAGTGTAACGTTCACATGGCTGTGTTTTATAGCTGATTTTAACCAACCTTGAATTCACCTATTTCTATTCACAAGCTTTGGGGGGCACTTTTAAGGAGCATCAGTACCAGCGAACATAAAGCCAGTACTATCTCCACCTTAAACACTATTTGAGAGCCTGCAGGTTACTATTTGTCGTCCACAAAACATTTCCAGGCAGAGGCAGATAAGGGTTATGGCTCATTATACCTTGTCTGATATATAAAACTTGGGTTGTGTATGTGCTATGTCAGTTATTTTAAAAGCCTTTGTCATTTCTCAAACTTTCACTCCACTTGCAGAACTCTCCTGACATAATTCGACTCAAGTGTTTTCTTGATTTGCGGAATGCTTCTGTTTCTAATTCTCAAGTCATTTTCTTAGTGAAGTGCAACTGTCTATTTATTTGTACAACTTACCTAGAAACAGAAGGCCGGAGAAGAATAAACTGAGCCTTGCGATAAGCCTTCTATCTCCTCCTTGCAAAGTGGACCAATACTTCCTGTGTTTCCAAGTGCCACGCCACACTATCTAATAATACTCTCAAGTTTCAGCTGATATGATGAACAAACTCAAGACACAAGCTGTTCCATTCTTGTGGCCATGAAATATAAGCCAACAAAATGAGCAGTGACATTGTAGTTAAGCCCTGCAATCTCCAATCCATGAAGGCAGGTTTCTAGAGGGCGTACAAGTGGCTAACTCATGCACTAAGTTTAGAATTGATTCCTTTTTTTTTTCATTTCCCAATACTATCTCTGAAATAACTACATTAAATTATTTCCTACGCTCTCTACCCCCAAGTGAAAAATAGATACAATAATATAAGCTACCACAAATACAGGTTACACTGAAAAAATTTCACATTTCCCCACTTAACTGCTCTGAAATGAAAGGATTATTGGGAAATAAATAGGTGAGCACACTTGATTTTTCAAGGTAAAATCATCACTTTCATGTAAAAATAAAATGAACACACGTAAAAATTTTATTTAACTCATTAATAAAAGAGGGAATGAGGAAGACATTAAAATCAGTTCAAAAAAGAATTTAAAGATTAGACATAGGTGTAGGCAATCAGGACTGCTGAAATGAATTTACAAATTGACGCAGAACTGATAAATATCCAACAGGGAAATTAAATGCAATGTTTTGGATCATCTTTTCTGTAAAGAAGAAGTCAGTTGTATAGACTGAACCAAATTTACTTGCTTTGCTGTAGACAAGGATCACTTGCATTCATACCAGTTTTCTATAACTTAACTTCTACCCCTAAAGAGTTATAAAACAGCCTAGTCAACAGAAAGGCAATTAAAGGTTAAACGTCTATAAAATCAGTCCCCAGAGAGTTGGCTAGACCCACACTGTTCAGTACCATTGCCACTAGACACCTGTGGCTATGTAAAATTAAACTAATCAAAATGACACAAAATGTAAGCAGTAACCACATTTCAAGTACTCAATAGCCACAGGTGGCTAGTGGCTACCATACCGCCCAGGGCAGATGCAGAGCATCTGCATGAGCAAAGAAAGTTCCATCCAACGGTGCTGCACAACGACCGGAACTCAACTGAAAGGATACCCAGTAACCCCTCTGTCCATTTCCAACTCTTTGACAATTTTTCCTAACAAAGCAAAATAAGCAACAGCAATAATGATATGAAGTGGGGGGAGGGGGGTGGGGTGGGGGGGCGGGGTAATGGCTAGTATTTATCAAGTATGGAACATATGCCAGGCATTGGATAAGACCATTTACATATATTATCCAATTGAGTGTTTACAATTTACATGTATTATCTAAACCAGTCCTTAAAATAGCTTAACCCCATCCGCACTTGTTAGTGGATGAATCAGACACTCAAAGAAATCAGAATAATTTGCTTGAAACTCTACAACTACTAAGGGGTTGGGCCAGGATTCCATCTCACATCTGTGTAACTCTTAAGTCTTGCTTGTTTCGCTAGACCAGATTGCTCAGACTACAGTCAACTGCAGTTGGCGCTTGCCATGGGCACTTGCCGTCCACCTCTGCAAGGATTAAAGCATGAGCTGCCATAGCTGCTCACCTTCAACACCCCCGGAGAGGAGTTCAGGGTGGAGATCAGGAAGGAGGCCCTCTGTGCTCTGGGAAAAACTGGCAGAACAGGCCTTCAGATAGTTAGATATTTTCAGGAGCTGATTTTATGGGCCCAATTCTTGTATCTCCTCGTATCTAGAGAAGCACTGAAATCCTTCATGGTGACGTCTACTCCTCATGACTAGCAATAACTTTCATGAGACTAGCAGAAAAATATATGCTTGATCGCATGTACTCCCCCTTCACCAAAATCACATATATACTGACCTCCCACCCCTCCACCTCCTTGGAGCAGTTTCTCAGAGCCATCTGACATGTTGTCTCCCAGGCTATAGTCCTCATTTTGCCCCAAATAAAACTTAACTCTCATGTTGTGCATTTCTTTTAAGTTGGCACTATGTGTCTTAAAAGAGAAGTTAGGACAGTAGATGCAGGTCAACATAGGGTGCAGATAGAAAGTATGACTAATAAAAGATACACCCAAGAAATCTGACAACCTGACCTACCCAGGTTGACTTAGGCCACTGTCTCAGGAGAATAAAACATGGTGGCCTGGCTGCTGAAGAAAGAGATGAGAAGTGTCTGTCCCATCCTTCTCCTTGTCCAAGGATGTCACTTAGCTAATGCCAGGCACAGTGTGTCCAAATGTCATAGCATAACAACATCACAGTATGTGCATCAGTAAGCGTTCTCTCCGCAGCTAGACCTTGGATTACTTGGGGGAGAATCAGAGAAGAAACACACTGGCTTTATTGTGCCACCTGGGACATAGCTCGTCAATAGTGTTTGTTAATAATACGATCTCCTCTAACCATTCCTATACCCCTGCCCGCCAATATCAAACCACCTCTTCCCAAATCACCCCAAACCAATTTTTTTTTTTTTTTTGCGGTACGCGGGCCTCTCACTGTTGTGGCCTCTCCCGTTGCGGAGCACAGGCTCCGGACGCGCAGGCTCAGCGGCCATGGCTCACGGGCCCAGCCGCTCCGCGGCATGCGGAATCCTCCCGGACCGGGGCACGAACCCGCGTCCCCTGCATCGGCAGGCGGACTCTCAACCACTGCGCCACCAGGGAAGCCCACCCCACACCAATCTTTAAGAAGCACAGGTGCCTGGACAACTTGCTAGGTACACAATCCTTGCTTCTGCTACTATCTTACTTTTGCAGCTGTTAGGTAATATGGTAACTTCAAACGATGGATGTGCATCAAACAGATGCTCACCCGCTCCACCACTTACTGTGAGACTTTGGGGAAATTGTTCAAACTTTTTAGGTAGCACTCATATTTTTCTGCGAAGCATGGACAATAATCAAATCGGTATCACAGAGTGGATTGAATAATTTAATGAGATAATATATGTAAAAAGCTTAGTACAATATCTGGCATTTAGACCCCTAAAATATCATCTATTCGTGTTGTTATTATTCTGAGTCAAATAAATACTGAATCTTGCTATACTGTCATAATTCTCAATATTTGTGTCAAATGTCACTTCACTTTGAGAGATTTAGAGAAGAGAAAGTGAAATGCAGGTGTGTGTACCTTAATACATTTTCTCATATAAATGGACCATGTCCCATCTAAAACTATAAAACTTTCCAATCCTTGTCACCGCACGCAGTGACAAAAACAAGACCAATGTTTATGAGATTCCAGAAGCAGTGTGATTAAATGAGAATTCCAGAGCTGAGTAATTCTCTGGCTTAATGACACCTGACTTTTTGAGCATTTCAGTTTATTTTTTAACTTCTCTTCTAATGGGGGGACAATGTGCATGTTTGCTTTCTCTGCTTCAACCAGAATGGAAATGCCTTATTATTTTTTCCTAGATGTCCGGGTGCTGATGTTGAGATTGAAGTGAAGCAGGGGAAAGGCATGTGGATGGAGTGAGAAGGCAATCGAATCCGTGATTGAGCTTGGAAACTATTGCAGGCGTTGGGCGGAGCCATGGAAGTGATGGGGAGGGAGTGATTCTTGGAAATTTGATAGAAGAGAGAGGCTGACTCGGAAGGTAAATACAGTAACATACGTGCAGCACTGGAATCCTCCTGTGTGCACGCACTCACACAGACACTCATGCAGTCGGGCTGAGAATTTCCAGGGTCCTTTCTAAAATGAACTAATCTCCTCAAGCAGGTCAGCTGAAGCAGACCCCCAACCCTTGAAACCTGAGCCAGCCTAGTGGCAGAGCCCAGGGGTGAAATCCTAACCTGCTAATCAGCTACATGATCTTACCCTTCGCGAATTCTGTGTTTGCTAAACACCTAGTGCCTGTATACACAGCACGGAAAGCGAATGCCTCTCGTTTTCAACCTTCCGGGGCTAATGTTCTTCATCAGTCAGAGCTGCCATCATGGATCCGACATCCTCCCTTTTCAATCCACAGGAGTTTTCCTTTTTCATGATGGGAGCAAATTGAAATCTGTGTGCTAGTGATTTGCAAAATGTGCCCTGCTACAGAGAGAGCTTTCTGGTTAGCCTTGTCCTGTTATAATCATTGGTTTTCCAGGAGTCATTCAGAAAACGTTCTCAACGCAACCTAATTCCCACATGCACGATGAAACCCAGGAGGATTCTGCAGATAGATACTTAATGTACAAATAGTCAGGAGAAGCTGTTCAGCTGCATTTTATTTTGAGGATCCAGCTAGTTAATATGTGAGGAGTGTTGCCAAGAAACATGGTAGGATTCTTTCTCTCTCCCGAAATGCCTAAGATAATTGTCTTGTAAAGGTAAGAAGGTACTTGAAACCAGATCCGCTGGCATTCCAAGCCCTTCAGGTAGTCTGAGAGGTCTGTGCTAATGAAATCCTCCTTTGTCATTTACTTTTCTTCGCCGGTGATTTACGCAAATGCTCAGATTTTTCACTACCTAGAAACAGATTTACGGATGAATGAACCCCTTCCTCCGAATGAAAACATTTCAGTCCTCTTAACCCGGGAAGTCTCCAAAAGGATATCTGTTTGGATGATTATAAACTACGTTGATATCCTACTACACTGAGCTTTGGAAAATAAATAACTATATGATTTGTGACTCTAGCAGAACCGAACCTTCGGAGTATTCACATTTCCACTCAAACAAAGAAGCAAAGTGTAATCCGGTATTTCAAAAATCACTATATGAACGTAATACTACTCAGTGGATTTAAAAATTAAAAATCCTCAGTGTTTCTTCCAAATTTGTCTCCAGAGTAAGCAGGGACATCTCAAATGCAAAAAAAGAAAGAAAAAGAAGGGAAGAGAGGAAGGAAGGAAGGAAGAAGAAGGGGAAAAAAAAATAACAGAAAGGCTCATGCAGCTGTGTTATTCATTTACTTGAAATATTAACAGGAGAAAGCCCTGGAATGATTTCTGCTCACAGAAAAGGTTTAGCACCTGGAGATCTCTCTCACTGTTGAAAGTTCCTGACGCCAGTTTGGTGGAAAACATGCGGGAACCCCGTTCAACGAAGAGGAAGCAGACCAGGGGAGAACCAACCCCAGATGTACTGGAAAACCAGCAAAGAAGCAACAAGAATTATAATGACTTCCGGCTTACTCTCAGCGATGCAAGAAATATGTTTTCTAATTTGATAAATGTCAGAAGCAGATGTAATATCATTTAAGAATCAAGTTGTTTTATACCATTTCAAGTAATCATTTAAATATACATGAATGACGGGAAAATAATTTTACTTCTGCTTTTTCATTTTAATAGGTTGCTCCAGGTAAGCCCAGGGAAAGGTTTACTTGACTCTCATACTCAAATTTCGTTCATTTAACAATTTGAAAAATACCCCCAAGACTTCCGTAGTTACCTAAATTCATAATAGCTTTGTACAAAGTTTCAACTGTCGACTGAAAAAAATGCACAACGTGAGAGTTGTGAGTTAAGTTTTATTTGGGGCAAAATGAGGACTATAGCCTGGGAGACAGCATTTCAGATGGCTCTGAGAAACTGCTCCAAAGAGGTAGGGGGGAAGGTCAGTATAAATGAGATTCTGATGAAGGTGGAGTACATGCAATCAAGCACATATTTTTTGCCGAAGGTTTCTGCTTGTCTCGTGAAGGTTTCTGCAAGTCACGAGGAGCAGATGTCACCATGAAGGATTTTAGTGCTTTTCTAGATATGAGGAGATGCAAGAATTGGGCTCATAAAATCTTCTCCTGAAAATATCTGACTATCTGTAGGCCTGTTCGGCCAGTTTTTCCCAGAGCACAGAGTGTCTCATTCTTGATCTCCACCCCTGAACTCCTTTCAGGCTGTGCTGAAGGTCAGCAACTGCTGTGGCCAGTCACCTAATCCTTGTAGAGGCAGATGGGAAGTGACAATTTTTAGTTAGTGCAACTTAATCACTGAAGATTTAAAGGATAGCACAGAAGTTTTATTACATTTAATTTTATTAAAAATAGTTATATTTTTGTTTGAAAAGCATTCTGAGTTCCTATCTATGTTACAAGGTGTACATAGAAGCAAGGCACAGAGTCAGCATTTGAATTCAGTTTGAACACAGCTACAGGCACAAGCCGTGGAGAAGGGGAGCCTTCCTGTGAACCGTGCCATTTTCTAGGTAAGTAACCTCAGGCAACTTGTTTAGCTTCTGAGTTTCAGTTCTCTCCCATAAAAGGCTGGGTTTATAAAGCTTAACTAGTGAGAATTAAATGAGGTAATCAATCCATAAAACAATCCGTCAATCAAAAGTTATTGAGTAATTGCTAATTACCAGATGCTGTGTCCGAAACATAACTCTCAATAAATAAATAAATAAATAACAATAGCCATTATTAGAAGGATGTATTAATTTTTACCCATCACTTTTGGGTCAATACATGGCCATCCACCACTAGTAAACAACCACCAAGCCCAGATGATAATCAGATTTTATTAATTTGGACAAATTAACCGACCTTTAACTTTTGGAGGAGAAAGATGGCAAGACTTTTTTTATTTTACAGATCAAAATAGGCTAAAAAGTTCAAATACCTTTTACGAGGCAATAAAAGTCTCTAAGAGCAAGCACATAACTCACAGGCACAACTTACAATCGCCATTTTGGAAGAAACTTAATTTACTTTTACTTTGCCATCTGCAAAGTAGCATACAGGGATAATGTAATGGTTAAGCAAACAAACAAAAGGGTAATTAGATTAATTAATTACAAGATTCCATAATGAGTAACTACATTATTAAATATAACTATATTACTAAATAATCCTGCATGTATATGGTCTATAGATGAAAAGTCTGTTTCATTTTATACTTCCACCAATAGTGCATGAGAGTGACTATCCTATAACCCTTGGAAATATTGCAATTTTGGCAATGAAATGAGTCTCATTATTGTTTTATTTATCATTTCTTTTTTCTTGTGTTAATTGGCAATTTACGTTTCTTCTTCAACATATTTCTTCTGTATATCCTTTAAAACTTTTTCTATAGCATTGGTAGTCTTTTTAAAAAAACTGATTTTAAAAGTTCTTTAAATATATTTTATGATTATAGTTTGGACATATTTTTGCCAATTTCGAAGTTTATCTTTTAACATTTTTTATGCTGTCATATATCTTTTATGGAAGTTTTAACTTTCCATGTAACAACTCTATCTTCTCTGGTAAAAATCCTAAGATTTGTATCATCTTAAGAAGACCTTCTCCATCTCAAGTTTATAAAGATAATATTCTTTTTTCTGTTCCCCTATAGTTTTTATTTATTTAGGTCTAGATGTTTAGTTGTTTTCCCCACTGTACATACAGGTCTCTCTGCATTGACTTGAAATGCCAATCAGACAGTCACTTGATGTGGGAAAGCGATTCCACTGATGGCCCTAATTAATGGCTTCCCTGTACCAGGTCCTTCACCTCCCGTAAAGAGTTGAACTCTCTTCCTCCACCTTTCTTCTGGGCCTGCCTTGCTGCTTTGGCCAGAGGAGTATAACCCAAGTGATGGTGTGCCAGTGTCATGGGGTCATGTGTGCTTCTGCTCTTTCTCTGCCTCAGCAGCCTGGGATGTGCCTGTTAGAGGCTGAGGGACCTCGCAGAGAAGAGCCAAGCTCCTCAGCCCAGGCTACTTGGAACCAGCTTACAGCCAGCCAAGCCCCAACCAAGCAGGAGAGGCCAGCCGGCTCAGAAGAACTGCCCGGTGGGCTTGTGGATTCATGAACAGTAACAGATTATTATTTTAGACCACTGAGATTTTATTAAACAGTAGTGCTAACTGACACACACACTCAGGTCTTATCCATACATACAGTTCTGGACTTGACTGTTTTGCATCGATTCTTGGCACGTTCCTGCAGTGTGTATTTCCATATCACTGTTCTACTGGGGATTTTCCCCCAAATGCTTAGCCACTCTAGCATGAGGTGTAACGAATAACTATCTTCTGTTTGGGATGTCACACGCTCTTCCACGTGCCCTAAATGCTTCTGGGTAGGGCTTTTCCTTTCTTTCGTAAATATCTATCCAACACCTACTGTGTGCCTGGCACTGCGCTAAGTTCTCTAGCCAATCAAAGGATTGTCATGAGCTGGCATCTTGCGAGAGCACAGCCTCACAGTGCTTCATATACTGAACAACTCTGTACCGAAGAAAAATAAAATTTAATGTTTATGTCCTGTCCTAGAGCAAAGCAAAAATCACTCTGATAACCAGAGGAAGGGTAGCATCCTCTCTGGCTCAAAAAGGTGTATTTGGGAATAAGAGTAAGAGAAGAAAAGGGAAAAAATAAGGTCTCATAGTAAGGACCTAATCTAATGACTCAATAGGCTGTTACTTTTTATTTTATCAATGTGAAAGCTGAGTATCCCTGTTTAAATTGACTTTTATGTTTTCCCAAATTTTCTAATACATAGAAATATGCGTTCCTGAGAGGTCTGGATGACCCAGTGGCTAAAGTGTATTCTATTTCCAAACTCCTTTATATTCTCATACCTTTTTCCATCTTACACAATAAAGTCAGACACTCAACTCTGCTGTATCTCACTTTCTATATTAATAAAATTGTAGCATGTTGTGAGGTTTAATTAGATAATAAAGCACTTTGAGGCCCCTCCTTGATAAGTCCGTGCAAGTGAAGAATATTGCTAATTTAGTAATCGTCGTATGCGCTGAAAATTTTTCCTCTAAAATGTGCAGATACACTTTTAAAACTCTGGACAATCACATCTGCTTTGGGCAGAGTAAAAAATAAGGACTGATGAGAACCTTCATCTCGGGATGGATGAACTATGTTGTGCTCACTCGCTTCTTAAAATTTCTCTTTATACTTCATCTTCATTTAAATGTTTAATTAGGAAGGAACGTTTCTCTGCATTATAATTAAATGCAAGCACAGATTCTTCACCACAAAAGAGACATCTTCCATTCAGTTTCTACTAAGTTTTGTTTTGTCCCCAAAGAATCAACATGAAAATTAAGCTGGCTGTCTGAAAGCCTTAAAAAGAAGTATAGCTTTCATAATACAAGGAAGATTAAAATGAATTAAAAATCTCAAAGCACATCCTTTTAGAATAATTGCTTGCTATATTCTTGCAACCCTTAAAGGTAGCTTTCCCAGAGAAAAGAAAAATGAACAAAGAGGGCCTTTGGTTCCAGCTTATCTGCTTTAGAAGCTGGAACCTTTTCACAGTTGAAGCACAATTTTTCACTTTTAATTGGTGAGGTGGTAATGGGAAGATTGCAAGGCAAGAAGGGAACCCTGTCCTGCTTAGTGATGGAGGGGACCTGTAAGGGGCAGGAAATTTGGAGGTACAGAACAAATAAAAGATTCGAGTTTACATGTTTCCTGGAATCTTCTCCAGACATTCTAACCCTTTCAGAGCTGCAGAATTTAGCCGGAAATCTTGTACGAATCTTGTACGAAATCTTGTAAGAATGAACTGCAGCTGGGGAATTCTTGCTTTACCTGTTCAGTCCTCACTCAGCTCTTCTGTTTGCCAGAATTCACCTGCAATGTGTACGTGTGTGCATGCCTGCCTGTGTGCACACGGAATAAAGAGGATGACAATGAATCCTTAGCTCCTTAGGCAACTCTAAAATATACTAAACCTTCCATTTCAGTATTGGCTTGAGATGCAAGGCTAGAAGCACGATGAGATGGGGAAGTCTATTCCCTGGTTATTTCAGTTCTTCTGGTAAACACTTCACTCCTAGCACTTCTTCCAGGACCTGGAAGTTAAAGCTATCCCAACGTTAAATAGACCCCTTTCCCCCACCTAGAAAAAGTGTAATGGGTATGAGTTCAACTTGAACTGGACAAAAGATGGTTCATATTTTACCAAAATATTCTGTTCATTTTGGACTTTGATGTTTAGTTTTGTCATAAATGTATCTAACCCACTCTTTACGTTTAAAAGAAGAACTGATAATTCCAGGGTTTTCTGTGTGCAAATCACACAGAAACACAGAGGGTGTCTTAATTGCTGTGGTGTCCAGAAGCTAATACATATGAGTATGTCCACCAGCATTTAAATGGGAATGTTTTTTACTTATCTAATTGCAGGGGGAAAGACAATGGAGATCACCAAACCACTGGAGTAGGGAATTGCATGACCACTGACTAAGCTGATGCCCTCTTGGTTTATTTTCAAGTGAACTAGAAAGTGGAAATAGAGCCTGATGGATTTAGGTTATGTTGAAAAGAAATTATAAGCCATAAATGGATACATAGATAATTATTTTTTTCTCCTCAGTAATATATGTTACACACTCAGTTGCCCCAAACGCTCACATCACTGTCCTATGTAGACAGTCACACATGAATTTTCTGAAACATTCATTAAAGATTTTATTGGTGGCTTTACTTATGCCCATTGGGCCCAAGAAATCAGGGTTTACTTAACAAGCAGGTTTGCACAGCCATGGAACACTTAAGAAGGCTAACTCACCCACCCGGGGCGGGGAGCGGAGGGCAATGCACCAAACTCACCTCCCCAAGGTGATACAAGCACTCCTTCAGTCCTTGACACTGACATCTGATTCAACTGGATACCCCCTTTCTAACATTCTTCCCTTGGCTATTTCTGAAGGAAGGTGCAGCTTATCTAAGATTTCCAGGCACCGACATCTTCTGACCCCGTCTCTGAGCACACTAGTATCTAGACCTTTATGAACATATGCACGCAGGCCAGAAGTCCACATTTCCACACTCAGGAGAGGTCCTCTGCCCTCCCTCTCTTTGTGTGTAATCCAACTCTCACGGCCTCTCTTGGAGAAGGCTGCCAGAGTTAGTCCACTTTTCTCCAAGCTTTTGTGTCTAACACATTAGAGGGGACAGAGGAGACGTGACAATAATTGCAACTTGGGCTCATGGAGGAAAGAACCAGATCAGGGAAACTGCTGAAATTTAGAAAACGTCTGCAGATTACTTAATAGCAATGTAACAATGTTTGTTTCCCAGTTTCAGTAAATGTGCTATGGTTATGCAAGGTGTTGACATTAGGAAGAGCTGATTGAAAGGTGCACAGAGGGGCTTCCCTGGTGGCTCAGTGGTTAAGAACCTCCTGCCAATGCAGGGGACACGGGTTCAAGACCTGGTCAGGGAAGATCCCACATGCCGCGGAGCAACTAAGCCCATGCGCCACAACTACCGAGCCTGCGCTCTAGAGCCTGTGAGCCACAACTGCTTAGCCCGCGTCCCACAACTACTTAGCCCGCGTCCCACAACTACTGAAGCCCGCGTGCCTAGAGCACGTGCTCCGCAACAAGAAAATCCACCGCAATGAGAAGCCCGCGCACCGCAATGAAGAGTAGCCCCCGCTCGCCGCAATTAGAGAAAGCCTGCGTGCAGCAACAAAGACCCAATGCAGCCAAAAATAAAATAAATTTTAAAAACTTTAAAAAAAGAAGATGCACAGAGACTATACTGTTTTTGCAGCTTTTCTGTAGGTCTAAAACTATTTCAAAAGAAAAAGAATAATAATTAATTTTTATTAATCACTAACTATAAGCTAGACACTATTCTAACTCATATATACCTGTAACTATACACACACACACACACACACACACACACATACACACACACCCCTATAATTTAATCCTTGCAAGGTCTGGAAGATAAGGAACGTTATCCTCACTGTACAGATGAAGAAAGCGAGGCACCAAGAGGTCAGTGACTTGCTCCAGACCCTACACCTAGGAAGTGCCGGGACCAGGGTTACGACACCTGAAGCTCCCCCCACGTTTCTTTTCTCAATTTTAATAAGAATCAGGTTAATTATGATCCTTCAGGGTATGAAAGATACACGTTTAAGAGAGAATTTGGGTTCCCAGATCACCAAAAATTGAAAGACACAGTTGAGATGCAAACTTAGCTAGAATAGCTGAAATTTGGGCCAAGAGGCAATGCAGGCACTGATGTGGCTTTTTGAGAACACAGAGTGGAAGACCATATGGCTCTCTGAAGAGGAGAAGCTTTCATATGTTGTTCAGTGTTGTGCTGGTAAAAGCCTACTAGCTGGCTCTCCAGAGGGGGTTAGGGGAGCCGTGATTTGAAACATTTGCCAATTTTCATGGTGAGATTCTTGTCATGGGTGATGTCGAGCAACCAACATGTGTTATCATCATGCACATGACACTTGAGCAGACATAAAGAAGAGAATGCATAAAAGCAACCCTTTTTTGTGGGGTTGATACCCTTCCAGTGAATTCTTTCTAGAGCACTAAGTGACTCATAACAGTTTGAAATTTGATTGGTTTCTTGCTTACCTGGTGAACGGTCCACATTTATACAGAAAGAAGTGTAACCATGCCACAGGGCACAGACAGGAGGAATCCAAGCTGGGGGACCTCCCAGACATGCCCTCTATAGGTCTGAAGGTTTGCTAAAGAAGTTACAATTCTTTAAGTGTTTTAGTTGTGTTACTCATACTGAAGTGAAGATGAACCCATGGAGAAAACCACAGCATGGATGTTGGGAGACCAGCTTCCTAGTGTTTATTTTTATTATGTGTGTTGGGACATATGGAACATTCCAAGTCTTCTTAGAGAGGGAAAAGAGTACTTTGAGTGTGAGAAGAGAAGATTTCCTAATGACCGCTGTACTGGGCAGAGGCCTGGTTGGCCAGGTGAGCTTTGGTGGGAAGAAGACACATTTGACTATCACCACAGTCACCTTCTCCACTCTTGAATGCAATACACACACACAAGAAACTTACAGGTATCCTCTCAATCACTTAGGTTTACTCTCACTCATTCAAAAAATATTTACTGTATTTCCATGACCCACTAGGCATTTTTTGAGAGGCTGAAAATATAGTATTGAATGTCCTCTGCTTTCCTGAAGCTCATATACTGGCATTCCAGTCTTTATTTCTCCACATCTTTGGTAAATGCTATGGAGGAAAGGAGGAAAATGCATGATGGTGAGTAATGAACTATCTAGCATAGCCTGGGAGCATGTGGCAAGGTTTCCCTGAAGGAGTTCCCTGGAAAGAGCCCTAAGACGTAAAGGATGCATAGGATTTATCTGAATGAAGCTCATTCCAAGTGTAGGGAACTGCATGCTTGAAGGTTGTGAGGCAGAAGAAGACAGGAGAACGGAAGGAAGCTCAGTGGGCTGGCAGCTTCGGAAGCCAGAAGAAATAGTCAGGAAAGCAGGGTGTGACATAATCAGATTGACAATAAAAGGAAAAGCAGAAATTGCTCAGTTTAGTCTATAAACCCTCTGACCATGAGCTGCAGAGCAGTTAAGCTGGTTAATATTGAAAGCACATGACAGTAGCATTTTGGCAGACAGTGAACTACTTTTAGTAGAGGCTGGAGTAGATGGGGAACTAGCATGCTTTATGAAAAACCAACTATTACGTTGAGTACTAAATGAGTGCTTCTATTTCGCATCTGAAAACCTGTGATATTGTCCTCATCTTCTAAGTGTTTGTTTATTAAGCTTATGCTTTATTTTTAAAGATAAGTCCAGACTTGTAAAGCCTCATCAAGCCATTCCAAAACTATACAAATGGAAAGAA